GATTAAAGGTTACACAAATATAAAAATCGGTTATGTCAACAAAAAGGAGAATCCTGCAGATGTTGCAACGAGAGGAATAACAACAAGACAATTAAGAGAAAATCTTCTCTGGTGGAATGGTCCGACTTGGGTAAAAGACAAATTAAAAACTTGGCCAATTAAATCCGAAACAAATATGAATACTTCAGTTGCTCCGGTGAAAGAAGTTAAAGATCAAACAGAAGAAGAGTTAAGTGTTAAAGTAGTAGAGTGTGTTTATACAGAGCCAGTTCCTCCTTTCGGAATGGATTATAAAAGATATTCTTCTGTTACCATGCTGTTTCGTGTTACAGCTTTAGTTCAGCGTTTTATCAAAAAACTAAAAAGGATAGAATGCGAAAATGATCACATAATCAATGAAGAACTTCAAGAAGCTGAAACAAGATGGATAAAATTTGTTCAACGAAAACACTACATGAAAGACTTTGTTGCAGTAGAAAGTAAAAGGCCAAGTGCGTTACAGAAACAGTTAGGCTTATACATTGATGATAAGGGAGTTATGCGTTGTATTGGACGACTTGATAACTCCGATTTACTGCAAGGAGCTAGACGACCAATACTACTACCAAAGTCCGATTGACGGAGCTCATAATAGAAAAAGCACATAAAGAATGCATGCATTTTGGCGTTTCTCATACATTGGCTAAAACTCGTCAGAAGTACTGGATTACGCATGGAAGATCTATTGTTAAATCGACATTACGTAAGTGTGCAATCTGCAAGAAACACGAAGGTGGTCCATATAAAATGCCTCCTATGGCTCCATTACCACCATCTCGAGTTCAAGTGTCACCAGCTTTTTCGAGAATAGGATTAGATTATTTAGGACCTCTAAATATCAAATACAATGAAGAACTGAAAAAAGTGTGGATTTGCATATTTTCATGTATGATAACAAGAGCAATTCATTTGGAAACTGTTCAAGATATGACCTCAGAAGAGTTTTTGTTAGCATTTAAACGTTTTATTGCTCAACGAGGTACTCCCTGTGAAGTTGTAAGTGACAATGCTACACAGTTTAAATTAGCGAGTAAAGTGATTCATGAAGCCTGGAATAATATTACCAAGTGTAAAGATGTACACTCTTATGTTTCATCTTTAGGTATGAATTGGCATTTCATTGAAGAGTAAGTTCCCTGGATGGGAGTTTTTTACGAACGCCTCGTTTGTCTAGTCAAGCGTGCTCTCCGTAAATCGTTAGGTCGAAGACTGCTAACTTTAATACAGATACAAAACCTCATCAAATAAATAGAAGCAACTGTAAATTCTAGACCGTTATTATACGTGGAAAATGATTTAGACTCAAATATAACACTTTCTCCTAGTCATTCCTTTACAATAAATCCAAAAACAGGAGTTCCAGAAACTATCATTGACATAAACGATGAGAATTATGAACAACGTGAAAGTTCTAGCGAACGTTTACTAAAGTTATGGAAAAAGGGACAGAAAACTTTAGATGACTTTTGGAAAATATGGCGAGATGAATATTTAGTCAGTCTTCGTGAAAGAAGCCAAACAACACTCAAAGCTGGGAGAGTTATGTCGAAATCTTCGCCAAAAGTTGGAGATGTTGTTCAAATTAAGGACACTGTACCTCGGGGCAGCTGGAAAGTTGGTCGAATTGTTCAATTAGTTACAAGTCGCGATGGTAATATAAGGTCTGCTAAAATTATATTACCCTCAAAAATAGTAATTGGAAGACCATTAAATTTACTATATCCTCTAGAAACAAGTGAAGACTTAAACGTTGAAAATCATGAACTTTTGAAAAGCACTGACAGAAGGGAATCACAAGTTGTTCATCGACCATACAGAAAAGCTGCTGAAATTGCTAAACAAAGATTGAAAGGTTTATCTAAAAGTGAAAATTCTAATTAAAATCTACATCACGATATATCCTTTACAAATATTTAGACGTTTTGTAAACCGGAGCAATACACGACGGTAGAATTACAGTTTAATTTTAACATGCATATTTCCCGCGCATTCTTCAACCGGAGCATATTATAGTGTAAAAAATGTCACGATTTCTCCGTGCACATTTCCCGCTCATTTTTATACCGGAGCAAAGTAAAGTGATAAACTACTCATGACTTTCTCGTGCAAAATAGAGCGTGGTTTGAAATTGGTCATTTCATTCAGTTTTGTTGAAACGTAAAGATGGGAAAATTTCAGTGTAATTTGTGTGACAAGTCTTATAAGTATAATCGTAATCTTAAAAGACATAAAGATGAGAAACACAGTTCGCAGCTATTACATTATCAATGTGTAATGGATAAATGCAAAGCGAAGTTTATTCGTAGAGGATATCTATTTGACCATCTTTACAAGGTACATAAAATTGAAAAATATAAAGCAAGAACAATTGCAATTGAAGCCAAGAGAGGAGATAAAAGCGATGCTACTTATTATTCTGAAGTCAGTGATGATGATACAATAATGGATTTATTAGCTGAAGAGGAAGAAATGGATTTATTAGAAATTGACATAATAGATGATATTTACGATAATGAATGTGGAAATGGTGATATTGAAAATAAAATGACAGATTTAAGCTCTACAAACGATAAGAATAGTGTTGAAGAACCGGAAGAAAAAGAGAATTATGTTGACTTTGATTCAAATGTTCAAACCAACGAAAGCAATGCAAACGACAAGATAGATTATGATGAATGTGTTTCTATTCCTGATGGTAATTGTTGTGCTGTGACACACCATATGATCATGATCACCAATACTTCAGTGACATATCTAATGATGAGTCAGATGATATCATTTTTACTGGCACGAGTATTGATTGCAGTAAATTAGCCGTAAGTCATATTGATGAAGACATCCATTACGTGACAGATCATGCCGCTATATATTTCGAAAAGAAATATACATATAGGGATGACGTATTAATCCATTCGGAGGAATATTGTACTACAGATAGATGGATTACAACTTCAAAGTGAAAGTAAACATTATTGCTGTTTATGAACATTCTGGCCGGAGTGTCGCTAATATCTAGCGATGTCCTATTGTTAAATTAAGTTAATCTCCTATCATAACTTTGGCGCGAATCTAACATGTTTATTTCATGTAACTTACTATAAGTTCTCATATTTCACGTGTTTTTATTGAGTATTTCTGCTTATGTAATATTATCTATAAAACCTTAACTCCGTCTTGCTCCTTATTTAATTTTGGTGAGAAAAATTCACATGTTCACAAATGTTCACGATTATCCTGCTTTTCTTGAAATTATTAAGTTCTTTTGGCGCTAAAATTTGGCTACTATATATATTGATGTTATTGTGTTATAGCCAGTTGTTATAGTACAAAAGAGTGGTTGCAAAAGTGGATGTGAAAAGGAATTACTAAATTGTGAATGTTGGTGTTTTGAATAAAAGGAAAAATTAAAAGTGAAAACTAATGGATTTAAAGTGTTTGTATTATTTCAATGTAGTTCAAAGGTGTTGAAAATTCGCTTCATACATTTCGATTTAAGTAACAAAGTAGAAAAGTACAGAATTAAGTTTGCTCTGATTAATTACAATGATACATCTTGCGATAAAGTGGATTTGTAAACACTTGTCAGATTTTTCACGAGTATTTCACGAGCATTCAAAATATTGATCATTTAGATAGTGTTATAAAATGTACCTGGGATGAAAATTTTGGAGTTTGAAAGTGATTAAGTATGAATACATATATAAGTTATGATTTTTCTTGAACACTTTGTCTGCTATTATGAAATACTGAACTTTTGACTGATATGTACCGACATTATCCATTATATATAATTCTTTGGCAGCTTTTTTTCAAGTATGAAACAAGATACTACCAGCATAAATATTGAAGGTATAATAGACATTCCATTATAGACCAATTCTATGATGGCTTTTTTATACTTTCACTTGCGACAACACGACAAAGCACAAAACGTCGCATTATCGAAGTGTCGTCTTGTCGCTTGCAAATCACGCCAAACGGCGCGTTGTCTCGCGGCGTGCTGCCGTGCTGGCGCTTTATCGATTGGCTCGAATGGAAGAATTCGCTTATTTGCACTTTGATGCTTGCGAGAGTGACTGCACGATAAGAAGCAAAGTATTTATATAAGCCAAGCGACTGTGCGACATGACGGCAACGCACCGCATGATAACGCCCAGTTTGGTGCGATTCGCAGCGACAAGGCGAAAATAGGCAAACAGTTTTTGTAGTTTTGTCGTTAGCGACAACGTAACGCGCAAAAGCGTAAACATACAATACTCTTTAATAACTGTAACGCAATCATGGTAACCCTTGCCATTCTGACATGATATAAGAAGACCAATTGTTAAGAATATGTTGAACCATATTGAGTGAAGACGTCGGTGGTGTGTGTGTTATTTGAGGTGACATCTTTGTCATAGAGCAAAACCATTTGATCTAAATAAAACACGTAGCAAAACTAACGTTAATAAAACAATATTTATCTTATCAATATACGTATTTATTTAATTTTACCAATGAAATATTACGCTATATCAGTCAAATATATTTCGTATTTTTAAAATAAATATGAAATATGAATATGAAAGTGTACGGAGTCAAAACTCACATTTATTTTAATGGACTTCTTTCGCCATTTTGTTTGAAAAATCTGATAAATAGAAAACAACTTTTTGTTGAATTTGTTTTGAAAACTATCTAGAATGATAGAAAAAAATTTAATTATGAAAACTAAATCCGAACACCAATATCTTTAAATCAGTCATTTACGCTGTACAGACGTTTAAAGAGTTGTTTACGTGACGTCATAATGAAATTAAATAAAATGTTATTTTTCGTTTTTCTTGAAATATGGTTTATTTTTTCACTCAACATGATAAAATTCCACATATTTTTACGAGCCGGGACTGTTATAATTTTGATTTCTTAAAAACTCTATTAAAATTTCAAACTATAAATTGTTGATTCATTTTTACCTTCAGTAATAAATTCAGGAATACTACAGGACAACGTGTACTCGCATGGCAGTCCAAAGTAAGTTTTTATATTTTCATTTCATCTGTTGCTAGCTCTATATTGAGTAAGTTGTTGTTGAACAAAAAAATAAATTTAATGTAAATGCATTACATTCAGAACAATGTTTACTCTACATTTTTTTAAAAGTTTTTAGCTCTGAATTTAGTCCAACGCTAGTTTACTGTTTGAAACTTGTCAATTTTCATGTCGGCACAATAATATGTTCCCACCGTGTTTGTAATACTTTTGTTTGTTTATCTTTTGTCAAATTCTTCAAGTTCACTGAACAATTTACGCTTCTACTTATTTTACGTCAGATGTTTTTTTCGCGATTTTATTTGATATGATACAAATCTGAATCATTAAATTGTATGCAAAACTAAGATGATTTGTCCAGAACGATAATTTCTTTATTGTGAAAAATGACTGAAAAAATTAAAAGCGCTTGAACGTTCATTCATGAAAATTCCGAGTAAATTCCTTTAAACCTGTTTATCATATTCCTCAATTTAATCTATGTATTATTATGAAATATTACAGATTAAGAACCTCAGTATGGCTCTGTTAAAGATATATATATTAATTTTACAAGTTTGATCTAAACGGTTAGCATATAGGTTTTGGCAGAAAAACAAATGTTTAGATAAGGAATTTTGTTGTTCAACCGTTTGATATGTTTATAATTATTTTAAAAAGTATGACAATTAACGATTTGTTACGTCTTCTCCTTCTCAGGTTGAAATCAATTTAAATGTGTAATTTTATTTTCCTCTTTGCATAATTATATCATGTGTATTAAGCAATATGTTGAGCATTTTGCTTATTTATTGTCATCTGCTTTTGATTAGATAAAAATAAGTTCCAATAATTTGTGCCATATTATTTTTAAAATATAATTAATTTCTAATACTCGTACTTCTACTATTTTATTAAGATATATGAACTATGGCTCAGTTGGCATGATTATTGGTCACGAAATAACACATGGCTTTGTTGGTAAAGGTAAGACTATTATTTTCATTTTTATCTAAAACTATTTGTTAAAAAGTTACTCAATATGAAACTCGAAAAAAAAAAGCTTTTTAGCGAGACAATTGCAATTCTTTGCCTCTGTTCCGGCGTCCATTTTTCTTTTTCTTTTTTCAATAAAGATTGGGTTATGTTTTGTTTGATATATATCTATTTTTATTTCTTTAGAATAAACATAAATTAAGTTTTATGATACTTTTAAAGGCAAGAAGTCTCATTTTCATGTCGCCGGTGCTAAAGTAACTACTAAATTAATGTATTAGGTTTCACGGAACCTTAAACTGACCTTTCAACCCTCGTAAATTGCCTTGCAATAATTATTTAAGGTAGTGTATAAAGAATAAGCAGTGGCAGTGTAACGAACTAAATTTCGACAAAATAGTTGTTTGCATTTTGTTAGCTTAATATAAAGAAAATATATGATATGATAAACTTTCTGGAAACATAGATGTATCAGGACATATTTATCCAAAATAAGGTCACTAAATAATTTGATATAACATCTTATTATTCTTATTATCTTATTAATCAAATGGTGTTGGCCTGTAACGGTCCTTTCGTTTTATCATGGTCTTGACATGATGTTACATGTATACATATTCATCAATTTAACTGTTTATAATAATGAGATAAATGTACCATCTATGAATCACGCTTTTCTAACGATTGGCTGTTAGGCAAACGCCTCTATATGGCCGCTTACTCGAACCATTCTTGCTTGTTACTTTGTAGTGCGTATCAAATTCTGTAAATAATCCATTTAGTTGTTTCTGTATCATTTGGTACACAGGTAGGACGTACGATGAAGAAGGCAAACAGCGGACATGGTGGTTACAAAGAGATGTTGACACGATTGAAAGAAAGACTCAATGTTTTATAGACATGTGGAGTAACTTCACTATACCTGGAACAGGTGGCATGAAGGTGATACTTATGAGTCTTATATATATATATATCTATTGTTTATTTGTGGGTTTGTGAAAATATTAACATGTACAAAATGCCGTTCAAAAAAACAAGAGCATCAGAAAGAACGTTAACTACTGATTACAGTATTATTGAAGAGAATAGATGTTCATACAGTGTTTACGTATAAAAAACCCAAGTAATGTTGGCGTATAAAATCTCATCAGGTATGTATTATATAATATATGCTCAGCATAGTTTAAGATTTCTTTACATGTAATTTGTGTCATATCAAAGTTTGAACTACGTAACGTTTAACAACTTCTTTTGACAGCTAACTAAAGGAGCGACATTGGTAATAAGTGACTGATATAATATTTTATCAAACCTTTATTTCAACTTATTAAAACAGACGCAAGTGCATTTGCGAAAGTGATTTTAATAAATCAAACTTATGGTTAAGCGTACTCTCTTTGACCCTTTAAAATATTAAGTTGACACATAGTCAGTAATAATTAATTTCTGCATTTTTCCTTTCTTCTGCTACTAAATTTATCTAGCAAATTGATTCAGTTTACAGCATGTTAGGTTTATAATTGCATGTTTTAAGTGTAAGCATACGTTTCAGAATGATGGTGAGTTGACGTTAAATGAAGTTCTGCCTGATCACGAAGGAACGCGGATTAGTTATAAGGTACAGTGCATAACATATTGGTCGCCATAAACGCAAGCAAACGATATAAAAGTAGTTTTTTTTTAAAAAAGCTAACTCAGCATCGCCATATAAACAAGCTACTTGGCTACTTTATATTAAACTGAAGTGCATACTCAAAATAAAAGTCAATAATTCCCATATTTCAAAATGTTTAACATCAAAATATATTGTAAACAATGGTACACCGTCTTCGTGGTCGAGGGGTTATAGTCGATGACTTCTAATCCAGTTACCTCTCTTGCGTGGGTTCGATCCCTGGGAGATGCTTTGGTAGTTTAGCACGGAGGAAGGTAGTCTAGTACTGGTGTAACTCTCCAGGAACGATGGTTAGGAAACTACCCGCCTATTTAACTAAAATAGTGTTGGGAAAAGGCGTAAAATGAAACAAACAAACAAACAAGTAAACAATGTTTTGTATAATTATTTTCCTAAGGATACCGCCAAATTAAGATCATTGTAATAAAGAAATATGCAAGTGTAATATCTCAGTCCGAATGGGCACACAACAGAAGCATAACAAGACCAAAACAGTTATAAATGGCATAAACGCCTCCGAATGCGATTTCAGGAAGTTAAGTCCTTTTAAAAGCGCCATAGTTATTTAGGCATCACTATTGAAAATAAATGTACATCGGAAGTAGTAAGCAAGTTTAGGTTCCCCCTTCATAAATAATTTTGTCTTGGATCCTTACATTGAATGTTAATCACATTTTAGCAGGAAAGGTCACGTGACAAGCAGATATATTTTTATTAAAGTTGTCTTTGAAATTTTCAGTATCTCTACTTTCGCTTCATATTTTCGACAAAAGTTGTTTTATTTTATACATCGATTTAAAAAAAGGCGCAAAGTGTATTTACACATATTAAATGCTGTTTTGTATATCTTTAGATTAAAACATGGTTTCAACATTTACAGCAGATACTTTCATTGGTTTACTACATATACTGCTATGTTCTTTAGATATTGTTTTGTGTTTATATTGATTTACATATTGTTTATTAATTAAAGGCCTATCGTAGGATAGTAGAGAAACAACGGAACGGTAAAGAGGAAAAAAGATTGCCTGGGCTTCCTTACACACCAAATCAATTGTTCTTCATAAATTTGGTGCAGGTATACTTAATTAATTAAAAGTTATTTCTATCAGTTTGGCACCGCATACACGGCACTGGTTTTATATTCCTAAAGCTAGTTAAGTGTTATCGTCAGCGGTCAAAGAAAAAGTGCAGTTACTACCTAAGCATTATTTAATGATAAACATATTTTTTGAAAAGCACGTATGTCTTTCAGAAAGCCAATTAGTCATGTTTCTAGGCTATTGTGACTTGACTTTTGATCTAGTGACCCCAAAATCAACAGGGGTTATCTACTTGCCATGGCTGGCCAATATGTCATTGGGACCTTTATAGGTTGTGTGCGTGACTTTATGACAAAGTCATCATACATCGTAATAAATAATGTATACAAGAAATGTTTGCTGACTGGTAGTAATTGACTGGACATATTTTACCAACTAGTTCAAAAGTACCCTGCCCTTTGACCCCAACATCAATTATGGTCAACTTCAAGTAAATATCAATACACCTGTGGAGTTTTAGGGCCTAGGACTTATTGAGTGTCAAGTTATTAGTCAGACACTGTTTCGACATGCAATGTCAATGTCGTTATGACGTCGACCTCCGCACCCTTGTCAAAAAAACAAAAGAAGTCATCAACTGGACAGGACCTATCACCATACAAAGCCTGAAGTTCATAGGTCTAGGCGTTCTTAAGTTATTGATTGGTAAATTGTTAAGTTTACGAACCAACAGTTCGTGACCTTGTGGACCTTGCCCTGTGACCCAACGTTATCTTCTGGCCAAGACTAAATCACCTATGAATATTGAGGGCTGAAGACCCGTGAGTTGGCGAGTTATTGTTTGGAAACCGTTTTGAAATCGAAGGTCAGTGTGACTTTGACTGTTGATCCCTAAACCCATTATTAACATGAAGTCATTTACCGGTTAAAACCAGTTAAAGTTATACGCCGTACACCGTTGACCATGTTAATGTCAATTTACCTTGGCCTTTGACCCATGTTCCCAAAATCGATAGGAGTCATCTTCTGGCCAAGACCAATGCAACTGTGAAGTTTGATGGCCAAAGGCCAATTGAATGTCACGTTATTGGTCGGAAGTTTGACATACAACATCAGTGTGACCATTCCATTTGACCAATTGGCCCAAAACACAATAAGGGTCATCTATAGACCTTTTTACGACGCGGTCCGTTGCTATGAAAAATCTACCGGAATTAGAATTTTCTCTCGCATGCGCAATCTGCGTAGGGCAGAAAATCCTTCGCCCTACATAGAAATATAGTAGAAGTTCATAGACAATACCGAGTTAGTTCACGGTAAACGGTAGAAAATTATATGAAATAGCTTTTATCAAATATAGAAAAGATGTCTTATAGCTTTGAGGCGAAGAATGTCATAAAAAGGCATGGAAAAGATACGTGTTTAAGAATTTACGATCCTGGACCTGACACTAGCTGAGATAATTTTTTAAAGAAGATGTGTAAATTAATTCATCTATTAGCAAATGAAAAGTCAACATATTTGCTGTTGAAAAAGTTCATATAAAAACAAAAGAAATTTTATAACATGAAATCGAGATTAATTATAATTCTGAAAAAATAGCAGAACAGGTGATAATGCATTTTTTCAATATGTTCCATATATACCTGATTATATATATATATCCTTTATCCGATTTGCCTGTGATGCAAACAGAAAAAAAAAGTCACATAAATAGATTCTAAATAATTTTTTTTTTCAAAATCTTGAGAAGTTAAGATGGGTTGTTTGGAAGAGATATAACACACATTTTATCCGCTTCTTCGTAATACCACCGATTTATATTACATAATATAAATCCGTGGTAATACATGATATTTTTAATAATGCACGTAACAAATTTTTCCCTTCTCAAAATCCATAAACATTGATCGGTATATTTAAAAATTACATAAATTACCATTTTAATAAGCGTAACAGATTAATTATATCATGGTTTTTATAAAAGTCCCGGTTGAATGAACAACCGTTGGCGTGCCAATCTGTTTGACACTTGCCGCCTGAAAAATATCCAGTTATTCAAAGGAAGTGTACAATACAAATTGTGTAATATTATGTAATACAGGGGTAATAAAGTTTTATCTATAACACCCTGGTGTTTCAATTTTAATTACTGATAAAAAAGTCGTCTTATTATACCTTAAACAAACAGCATGTGTGTGTCTTTTTTGACCATTGAATTATTACTCCCGCACTTTTTCGTAGAATTGTTAAAAAATAAATTCACGTTTTCACTACTAACCGCCTTAAGTCATCCCAAAATTAATGTTTTTTGGGTGACATAACATGAAATCGCATCTATTAAAGCCTTAACGTATGATAGACTGTAGACATCGTTATTGCGTATTGCCCTACGCAGAATGCGCATGCGCGAAATGCAACATTCGTTGCTATGGAAAATCGTATTGTAAAAAAGGTCTATATACTCCAAAGGAGGGGATGGGGAAAATAATGCAAAAAATGCCCGAAAATGTCAATAAGGTCATCCTGGATTTGAGGTCAACATTACCGTCCGGGAAAACGGTGTTTAGACATCGCCTCTAGCAATTTTTGTTTACATTTCTAAGAAACGGACATCATTTTTCTGCCATTCATTCAATATTTGGCTTTCTCTTTCAGCCACTTTGCACCAATATAAGAAACGATATAAAGAAGTTTTGGATACAGAACTTTGCGCACCCATTATCATTAATAAGGTAAAATATCAATTTTGTATTTTCGTGATAAAAAACTGTTATTTTTATGAAGTGGCACATTTTTACTCATATTGTTAAGTATTACATAACCTTGTTACATGCTTTCATTGCGCTTGGGATGTGGGATTCGTATCAATTTGTTATATGTTACACGCAATATATATTTGATAAAAGCTTGAATGTACAACAAAATTCATCTTCTTGTGACCGAAAGGTTTAAGTATAGTTAGACAGTTTCACGTTTGACTTACGTTGCATCTCCATGTTTAACATGTACACACAATTTGTGACAATTACTGGCTAATATCCGAAAGTATTTTACAATGTATACTTAAATGCTAGCATTCTTACAATTTATGAGTGAATCTCTTAGTCTTTGTTGTATCTTAGATGTTGATTTCCTTTCATGTCTTATATTTTAGCTCTGTAAGAAAGTTTAATACCTATATTATATCCGTTCAGTTGCTAGTGTACACAAAATTGGATCATATGAAAACGCAAGCTGTAACAGTTACTTATCTTAAATGGTTTAAGAATATTATTGAATATCATGAATGTATTTTATTTAATTTATAAATATAAACATTATGTTCCGAATTTCATTTCATTTACAAATCAAAAAGATTTGTTTTCCAATCATCACCTTATATAATTATATAGCCTATCTCATATAAATTGCAATACAAAAGTTTAAGGTAATTTGGCTGCAAAGCAGTCAAGCCTTATACGATTCGGAATAAGTGATAACTGCGGAAAGACATGATTATTTTTATTAGTCTTCAATAATACATACATCAGCATAACATTTCGGAAACCATTTTAATGTTTTTGCTTTGTTGCAAAACATTGAAGTACAATATTATTGTGGAATGGAAAGACAATTATAGTTTCTTGTATCCGTATTCAAATAATGTACTTAGTAATTGTCTGTTTTGTTATAATGAGTGCTGTTTACCGTTACCTTATATGATGGAATATAATAAACTTCTCAACAGTCTGCTTTTTTTTCACTGATTAAAAGTTGATCTCATGACGACATCGTTTATCATTGTCAGGGCAGGGCTTGGGCAGTGTGCTAAACTTTCAGATACTCTGAGAGTTTACTGTTTATGTTCAGACTCAAATTTATAAGTGATTCCTTGCTAAGTGTTTAATCGGAATATACTTTATTTATACAAAATGCATTATGATAAACCAATAAGAGCGACAGCACTGTCTCTATACATATTATAATAACTTGTCTCGTCCTGGACCTGACTTAAACGTACCCGTTCCGTAACATCATAAAACAAGAACGGACGTTATGAATTTTTGGTGCAAGTCATTTTCACAAACAAACATTTCTCAAGGTATCATTTTGTTCCGCCTTTCTTAGGGTATGCGTTCGTATGCTGTCAAAAACATGCTAGTAAGAATATCACATTCCTTTGAGGATGATTTTACTCAAAGGTAGCCGGAAAATGACGTATTAATCGACGTTGACGTTATCTTTCAAGAGTGAACTTATCTGATGGAAAGTTGATGTATAGTTTGTTTTGCTAATATCATAGCTGTTGTTCACAAGTGCAAAACAATATATTTTAGCGGTTTTTAATATTCTTAAATTATTTTACGCAGTAATCATTATGACGTCACTAAATTAGGATGTCACATTTTAAAAGTTGTTATACGGTTGTTATAATACCCGAAAACAATAACAATAGGTATGGTTACTTTTCACACACCATGGCTTATAAATCTTGTAAATGTATTTTTAAAAGGGTAGAAAGTGATTAATGTTCTATCATACCAGCCCACCCACACGCCTTTCAAAAAAAGAAAGACTGGAAAAAAATGAAAGAAAAAACAACAAATGAACTGCACTGACTATAAGAGGGTACAAACCAAAGACTATATATTATTATGGTCAATAGTGATTTATTCGCTCAATTCCTTTTGGTATGTATAATAAATCCGTTATCATTTTGAATATGCTACGGAATTCTTTTTAACTATCTTCAGATTTGTCGGGCTTATGCAGAATAGTGAAGAATTTGCAGATACCTGGAATTGTCCGGTTGGATCCAATATGAATCCTGCTGACAAATGCACTCTTTATCAATAAAAATCAATTAATAAATAGTCACTCACTGAAATAAAACTTATATACATATATATCATGGATTATTTACATTGGAAGACCAATGAATTTATTTTCAAAATTATCGTGTTTTGCTTGCTTGTTTCTAGGTATATTCAATTTTATCTTCATCGTCTTAATTCTGAATAATCGTATATGAAATAAAATATAGTCAACCAAATCAAGGAGGTCCTTTCAACCGCCACTGTGTTTCTGGATTTCTAACCAGCCTCCTAATTTCTAATGTTTTATTATTGTTACATGTATAAATCACTCCCACATAGCTTCATCCCATTTATTTATGTTATTTATAATTTCGATGCAACCAACTTTTACACTCGTAATGTAATCATATCTTTGTTTGACTCAAGATATAGAATTAAAAAAACAATGACTTGACTTTAGAAAAACAACAAATTTAGTCTAGCATTTACAACTATTCAGCGTTGATCAAGTCATGACAAGATACCATTTTTCTCAAACCGCATTAGATAATTATGATATTTCAAACTGTTTATAAACAAACATATCATTTGTGCTGTTAAGAATATCGTTATGTTCTTTAAATACTTTATTAAATGACTATTTATGACTATTCAATACATACTTTATGAAGTTAAAGAATCGGAATAATTACAATGTTGACTGTGCGAGGAAAAAAACATATGTTTTGGGTGCACAAATGTGGAAATGCAAGTGTTACATGCCACGACAACAGTACTACTATATACGTGTACATCGAGGGTATGTATAATTAGACGGTGGATATTTGCCTAATTATATGGATGCTACTAAAAGCCTTCTTGTTAGCATTTTATTATTTTATCTTATTTTTGCAAAAGTTTTTTTATACGACCTTCAGACAGTAGAAAAAATAGATTGTGTGACTAATTTCGATAATTGTCACAATTTATTGACATGTTTTATTATTAAAGCAAACCAATAATCAATCCGGCTGACAGTTTGCTCCAATTTCGTCTCCAATAAGAGAGACCAAACTCTAATCGAATTTGAAATATACAAGTTCCATAAAATGTTTTGTATGAAAAGAGCGACTTATTTCAAGTAATGTAATCGTAGTCCTGAACTTTATAAATTGTGTTTCGTTGAACACTGTGCACTGCAATTGATATAATTATATTTTAAATGAAAATGCAGATAAAGCTTTGATACGATAAAGTCAATCAATTTTGATCTGATCTAAAGTAACTGAATTCTTCGAAAAGGAATCCACAATTAAATCCCTTTCAAGTTTTTAGATCGTTCTAGTGGCGGCACACTTGTTATTAAGTTATGTAAGTTTTAGTTCTGTCTGATTAAAACTCGAATAACATAATAAAAGTGAAAATTGAAAATTTGAATTGAATTGTAACATGTGCTGTAATTATATGAAATTGAATGAAATCATTTTTGAAATCTCTAGAGATGGTTTAATTCAATATTTGTCTCTTCCTGTTAAAACTGATTTTCAGTCTCAACGTTTATTTTTTCCCTTCATTTAAGAATCCAATACTGATTGTTGAATCTGACAAAATTAAAATGGATTCATCAAAATATTCAATTATATTCAATGAGATTGAGACATTGAGAGTTGCACGCAGTTATCCTTAAATTACGCATGCTATCCTTAAATAAGTAAGCATTGTAGGCTTTATTTTTATGTTTGTAGTAGAAATTGCAATGTATAGATAATTAATGCCCCCATAAAATATCAATCAGTTAACATTGTAGTACTTTGTTATTTGGTCCTCAATTATTCGTACATAGAGGAATGTATCTATCACTGAATTAATCAATTAATTATGTTTCATTCATTTAATATTAATAAATGAATTATTAAAACAAGGATCATCAAAGAAGGGCGACATACCATAACGGCACTCCGCCACAACAACAAAATCCAGCAGCACATAAAGAACGACACAGAGCAGAGCTGCACACAGGACGAAACAGCAGATGCAAGGACGTTTTGCAGCCACTGGGGAAAACTGCCCACATTTTGATAATTATTATGTTGCAATAAATTACATTCAAATAAATACAGGTCTTTTGATTTATACAAATACAATAAAAATGGTTTATCTATACAAATACAATAACAGACACACACACAATACACGCAAACAATAATTAATAACAACAACAATGGCAACAAAGTAATTTATTGTAAACTATGCGCAATTTCAATGTATCTTGGAAGGTCAAAAACGTAAGACAATAAGGTTGTTTTTATAACATGAAGCATCTATTTTCTTATTATATTTGTTCCATGCTGATAGCGTCTCCTATGGAATTTCTCCACTGAATTGAGTTTTTTTTTGACATTAAGGAACCGAAAATATTTTTTTCTAAACTTTGTATTACTGTATGTAGGTCTGAACCAATTACCCGTATGCAAAATTTCAGACCATTTGCTTTAACAGCTTCCGAGATAAACATTTTTGAAACAAACTGACCAAAAAAAAGGAGAAGCGTCTCAACGCTTAAGAAGAAGCGTTTCAACACTTTTGCTCAAATCTGCCAAACAAATTATTTAAAAAAATAAATTAAAAAACATACACACAAAAACGGTTATTTATGTACCAAGTATATTTACAGAGTATCTGTTGCATAGTTTTCTTTTTGCACCAAATAATAATTGAAAGAAATGAACGTTTTAATGGTCTTTTAACAATATTACCCATTAGTTTAAAAGCAAATTTTAAAGGAATTTGGTTTATATATAACTTAATCATTTGCAATATCATTCTTGTAAAACAAAAACATTTGAAGGATTATAATAATTACATATTATTTATACAATGAATTTCATTCTCGTAAAACAAAAAAAAAATGAATTTTCTGGTGCGGAAATCAGGTTATATACACAATTAGCAAAGTACATTAGCTAATGTTCATATAGTATTTATTACATGTACATCTATATTGTAGTTAAACTTTTTTGCTTGTTTGGGTTTTACGTCACATCCCTTTCCGGATTCGAACCCACAGCGTAGAGGGGCAAATAGTTTGATATCAATGACCTCAATAACCACTCGGCCACGGACGCCCCCTAGCCTAACTTAAAAATAATGCCTTGTTAATTTAAAATGATGTTGACTTTCAACGGTAGAATTTTTATGGCTTTAAATGACAACTTTATTATAACGTTTTATCTAATGTAGTGCAGACGTGAAGTCATCATATGTTACAAAACAATTACATCAGCAAACAAATAATGAAAACAAAAAGGAACGCATAATTAAAATTTATCTAGATTTTCTCTTTCACTTATTTTAATATATTCTTATATTAATGGCTGGTTGTATTTTAATCTTAAGCTAACAGTAGAATAATTTCATAGCTTTCAAAATGATTGAACACTTGTTTTAGAAATCATAAACTTCAAGACTTTTGAAAGATGTAAAAGAAAAAAGGAACAGCATTTTACATACTATTTATTAACAATGAAGTTTTAAAATTTAAAGTCATTATAAATATGTTTCATAATAATTGTTGTGGTTGTTTTTTGTTATGTTCTGTTTTTTTTTCTATCGAATAATTAGATGCAAGACATTAAATGCATTTCTGAAAAACAAACTAAGTTATCTAGAAACATTCTTTTTGAGATTCCTTGTACTTACTGGTCTATTTTACAGACGTACATATAAATTAGTGAAGGAAATTTGTCCTTGACAAGCTAAACGGTATCAGTTTCAAGTTTACGTTTTCGTTTGTCTACAACATGTTTTATAACTTATATTATTTAAAAAAGATATATATTACAGTTAGCTGTCACGAATGTATACTATAGTAAGATTTCTAAGACCATGTAACGTTATACATGTTAAAATTACAGTTCAACCTTTTCACAAAACACAGCATAAACTTCTAGAACACGCACTCGTGGAAACTTTATCGTCACTGTAATATGAAGCGGACATCTGTTTCATATCAATAAATAAAGGTTTCGTATTCCATATTGAATGCTTAAGCATTTATACATTTTATCCGAATACTGGCGTCTCAATGACGCTAAATTAGAAATGGTATCATACTTAAAACTTAAACATTTTTGATTATATTACATCCCAAAGCAGTGTTGGTCCCTCACACGGACAACACTTAACAAGCAACCTTATAAATATATGCACTGTATTCTCAACCAGCAATGCTACTTTGGACATTGTAACCTAGAAGACGCTTTTAACCAACATGACAAGAAAGTCCGACCTATGTTTTGTTATGGTGCCGAAAATTTGGGCTATCATCAAGTAAGACCAGCGATCTTAACCATGCTGATGCCAACGTGTTTTTTTCACGCCGTGAATGTAGCAGGGCTTTAATTTCGTAACTTAACATAACTTAATGTATTAAAAAATTGGATAAACTGTTAACGATACGAAATAACTTTTTTCCTAGGCATGGTGTATAATGCTGTGTCGTTTTTGAAAACATAAAAACGTTATCGCCTTTCTTGTTGATACATTACAGTAAATGTTCAGGCAACAATGTAATACTTTAAATAATGTATCTATTTACCAAATTGTGTATCTTATGGACTCGTTTATTTATATCATTGTTTATGTTTATGTCAAGGAATAACGTGGTTATAATTATCAGAATCATAAAATGATAGAATTACACTTTAACTTTAATTTCTTTTAAATCCCTAACGATCATATGTATTCTCCTCATTGTTTATATAGAATACTCGCGTATGTTAAATATAATAGGCATTTTATGTCACAGCTTATTGGATAATCGACAATAAGATTTTGAAAACCTTAAGTGTAATTTCGTTCATGTTTTTATTCTGAGCATGTTTCTAAGATTAAACTGGATGTAAAATGTTCGACGAAAACCGTTTACAAATAATAGCACATATACAGATTTGAAATTAAACACGTTTTCATTTAGATTTAATAAGATAGTCTGATTCCCTTTTATGGTTTATTTCTACATTTCAATCGTAGACTTCATTAGTTTTAGAATTTATCTCAATGTCATGTTTCCTAATCCAAATTTTGACACATAAATAACTAACCAAATGATAAAAATCAACTGCCAGCAACATAACACGCAGTTTCTCGTTGCGTAATTGGATTGATCGTGTCCGCTTAATTTTAATTGTCGTTATAAAGTTATTATTTGCTAAAGTTTGATTTTGAATATATTGACATTTGC